ACCAGGGGGGACTTTGACCCCAGGGGACATTCGGGGCAGTGGTGTGCTACTGGCATCTAGCGAGATGCTGCTACATCCTACGGGGCACAGGGCGGCTCCCGCAACCTGCTCAGAATGTCAACAGTGCCGACGCCGAGACACCTGGGGTGTTCTCCCTCCTGACCAGGGGTGTCTGCCCCCCGGCCCAAGCCCCTGGCTCGTTCCTCCTGCTCCTCTGAACGCTCAGCCCACAGCCCAGTTCCTGAACAGACAGGTCACACTGCCAACAATGAATGCATCAGCTTAATTGGGTTAAGCGGCCATTAACCACAAAAGCAGGGCGGCTATGTGTAGAAAGGTTTTTAATTTTATTCTTTAAACGATGCTTGCTCCCTAGAGAGGCCACTGATGGTGGGAACACTGCCCACTGGAGCCCCAAGAAAGAACCAGGGTCACAACTGCACCCCCTGTCCCATCCATCTGGGCCTTGTGGGGGTGGCCTGGGAGGGAGTGCTCAGTGTCTTGTTTCCACTGCCCAAGGAAGAAACTGTGGGGGCAGGGACTTGCCCAAGATCACTAGGCCATCCCAGAGCAAGCCTTGTCAGAGGAGACCAGAACCCCGTCTCCCTGTGGACAGCAAATTCCATGTGGCCACTAGTGGTAGCACAGAGGAGGGCAGTGCTGGGGGCATTGTGTGGGGTCTGGAGCCAACTGCCTGGGTCTAAAGCCTGGTTTTGCTGTGGGACCTGGGGCCAGTGGCTTATCCTCTTTGGGGCTCAGTTTCCTTAAATGGAAAATGGGGATAAGAGGAGTAACCCTTTGCTTGTAGGGAGGATTTGGGGAGACCTGGAATGTTCTGGCTCATCTGAGGCCAGGCACGCGGCAGGCACTCAGAGGCCAGTAATCATGGGAAGGAATTATTTCTGCCATTTCAGGGGAAACATCCTGAGCTCTGAATCTGCACAGAATCACCTGTGGAGCAGTGAAGAGTATGGAAGCCCAGCCCCACCCCTACAAAACTTGACTTTCCCAGTCTGGAGTGGGGCCTGGGCATCACGGTTTAAACACTCCTCAGATGACTCCACGGTGCAAGCAGGGTTACAGACACTGCACGAAGGCCAAGGTACAAAGGCACAGCATCTGCGGAGGTCCTGGCCCCCGCGAGAGCCGGAGGAGGAGCACGGAGAACTTGGGCATGGGAGGAAGGGCGGAGCTCAGGGGCCGAGGCCCTAAGTCCTGGATCCCCACCCAGGCCTCTCCACGGCCTCCAGTTTCTCTGAGGTCGGAGGTGAAAGGCTCTCCCCGAAAGCAGAGTTCTCACCACTACTGATGTCCCTCAAGAACCTGCTCTGGCTTAGCTGCTCCGGCCCTGTGCTTCCCATTCTCTGAGAACTAAGCCCATGGAGCCACAAAGTCCTTGTCCTTGTCCTTGAGAGGAGGCTGGAATGCCTCGCGATGGGGTCACTCCTCATCCACGGCAGAGCCTCTTCCCATGGCCTCTCCTCTGGGCCATGCAGCAGAGGTGCCAGGGATGGTGCTGAAGGTGGCATGATCTTCAGGGACACTGTTTTCGTGGTGGCCTTTATAAACGATGGCTCCTGAAGCCGTGAAACCAGAAGCATGGGGCAGAGAGAGTTTCGTGTCCCTATTTTACAGAGCGGGAAACTGAGGCCTGGGATGGGGCTAGAATGAGAGCTCCATGAGGGCACCCTGCACCCAGCACCACCCTGCACACAGTAGGCCACTAGTGAATGCTGATGAACAGATGGAGGAAGGACAACCATGAAGAGATGACCTTTGAGAGAGGGGCCGTGTGTCAGGGAGGACAGGAGAGTCCTGATTTGGGTCCAACTGCCTCCAGTCTGCTGTAAGACCATAGTCACCTTCTTCCCCTTCCTAAGACCCAAGACCCTGACAGTGCAGGCCCGGAGGACCCATCTCCCTGGGTATTAGAAGTTCCGAGAGAGGCCCTCTTCATGTCTGCAAACCTGAAGCCCCCATCCATCCTGGCCCAGGATGCTGGTTGCCTGTGTGACAAAGCCCCTGACTTGGTCTGCTCCTGCCTGACTCTCGACCCCATAAACTGCCCTGTGCAGCTTGGAGAAACTCGTTACAAACATCTGATAGGACCTGATTAGGTGAGACAAGGAACTTTGTCCTGCACTGCTCAGTTCCCTCTTTGCAAGCCCCCAATTAGAATTCCAGACCAGAGCAAGAGGATTTAAATTGGATTACTGGATGGGGTCCAGGGAGTGAGGAACTATGGGAGTGGGAGGTGGGGGGCCCAGACCCTCGATGTCCCTCCCTCCATATGCACTCAGGCTGCAAACAAATGTGGGAAAGGAGAAAAGGGCTAAGGCTTGATTAAAAGCAAATTTAAAACATAATTAAGACCAAAGCTCATCTTGAACAATTAGGACCAGGCTGGGAGGAGGATGGTCCTCCCTTTCCCCTGGGGACACAGGCAGGAGCATCTTGCAGCCTGGAGCGGGGGGCGCGGCAGCCTGGAGCGGGGGCCTTCACTGGCCAGGAGAGTGCTGGGGAGGGAGGGCTGTGGGCTCCGTGCTCACCTCGGGAATAAATGGGGACTCAAGGGCCCAGCTTAGGGTCCGAGCGACCTGGATTCAAATCCTAGCCCTGCTACATCCTGGCCTGATTCATGGCCTGAGTCTCAGTGTCCCGTCTGGGAAGTGGGCCCCCCTCACGGGGTTGCCGTGTGGCAGACTCAGCACGTGGTCAGTGCCCGATCATTGCGTGTCTTTTTCCATCATTCTTCCGTTGAGAATAATGTGTATTTAGCACCAACTGTGTACCAGGCCATGGGCTGGCTGCGGACGTAGTAGAAAGGAGGCTGACACCTGCCCTGCCTCATGGGGCACGGTCCGGCATGTGGTACGGGGACCGGGTTGGGATCAGGACCCCAGGCCTTGGGTTTCCCTGCCTCCCAAGCTGTCAGGGTTGATTATTCTTCCAGGAGTGAGGAAAGAGGCCTGGGGAGGGGCCCCAGCTCTGCAGGGCTTGGAGGGGATGGGCAGGGGCTGGGTCCTGAGCTCCAGGTGTGGAGGGCAGGCTGGGTATCTGTCACTGCCACCACTCAGCACCTCCCTCCCTCCGCTGAGGTGACTGAAGCTGGTGGGTAGTAGGCCTAAAGGTCTGAAGGGTGCTCCTTCTCAAGTTTATCAGACGGCTCTGATACAAGTTCAGGGCTGGCAGCTTATACTTTGTGAACTGGGCGCGCGGGGGGAGGGGCGCGGGCAGCAAAACAAGGAAGTAGTGGGCAAATGGGGGTCTAGGATAAAGCGGGGAGGGAGAGACAAAGGGACAAAAAACAAGAGAAAAGGAGGGAAGCGTGTCCAGATCATGCCCAGTTCGAGGAAAAGTAAGGAGGCGGGACGTGATGTGCTGGCTGGCGGGGAGGGGTGGCGGGGAGCAAACAGATGTTTCCCACAATCAGGGAGACTCTGCTGGACCGACGGGGACAGCTACTCTGGCCGAAAGCTTGGCTTTGCTTTCTCCCTATGACAGTTCATTTCCCCACCTGTCCCCAACCTGTGACTAAGAGTTCCGAAGGTCTGGCCAGACCCAGCTTTGGGTTCTCTGGGTCCACAGTGGGCGGGAGGCCTCAGGGTCCACCTCCTTTGGGCCTCTGGTCCCAGGATGCCAACCTCTCTCCATTGCATGATCCCAGGTCCTACTAGGCAGGCAGGGGACCCCAGGGGGACAGCAGGGCCCAGGTGCTAGGGAGGGGGGTTCCCATTCTCTCCCGGGGTCTGGCTGTGGTGGGGGTTTGGTCTGCATGGCTGCCCTGACTTGACCCCGCCAGGACCCTGGCCTGAGCCTGGGCGTGGCTTATGTGGACTCGCTCATCTGTTTTTTTTTTTAAATAGCTTTATCGAGATATAATTTACATACCATAAAATTCACCCACATAAAGTACACAATTCAGTGGTTTTTTAACCTATTCGGAGTTGTGCAACCATTACCACAATCTAATTTTAGAATATTTTCATCACCCCAAAAGGTAACCCTGGATCCATTAGCAGACACTCCCTATTCCCCCCCTTCCAGCCTTAGGCAACCACTAATGCACTTTCCATTTCTATGGCTTTGCCTATTCTGGACATTTCATAGAAATGGGATCACACAATAGGTGATCTTTTGTGACTGCTTCTTTCTTAATGTAATGTTTTCAAGTTCATCCACTTTGTTGCATGTAAAGTACTTCATTCCTTTTAATTTGACTCATCCCTTTGACACAGGCTGGGGTAGCCACGGTTGTGTCTCTGATCTGGAGGCAGCTTGGACCTCCTCCCACGTTTACCGCACAACCTGCCCAGGACACCGCAGCTCCACAGGCCCCTCCGCAGATGCTCTCCCCGGGGGATGGTGCAGGTAGAGTACCAGGGCTCAGCTGGCTTTGTAGAGCCAGTCAGGGGAGCCCAGCAGGTTCTGTCACCTCACAGAACCGCAGTGACTTGGAGCCGACAGGCATAACCTCTCTGAGTATAGAGGGCGAGACCGAGGTCCAACGGCGGACAGAGGAACATTCAAAGTCATGGGCAGAGCAAGGGCTCCCTAGCATCACACGGCCACAGCTTTGTCCGTGGGGCTTTCAGGGTCCCTTCACACTCCCTCCCCCTCACAGCCTGCGGTCCATCCTCTCAGCCATCAACAGGTCACCACCCTGGCCAGGTGCTCACCCAGGGCACACTCATAGACAGCAGAGGAATGGAGGACCCAAGCCCAACAGGAGGGAGAGGTGGAGCCTGCCTGGGCCCCACCATCACACCCGCACAGGGTTCCCAAGATCCCAGGTCACCCCTCACATAGCCTACTCCAGAAAAACCATCCTGTTCCTACCCAGCTGCCCAGAGTCCACGAGGGCACAGCCCTGCCAATGGCGGCCCAGCCTGAATTCAGAGGGCCAGGAGGGCCGTGCGTTTGTGGCAGGATAGGCTATCACCCTCACAGCGCAAGGCTACTTTGCCAGGTCTTCCCTGAATCCTGGCCATTGCACCTACCTTCAGAGCCTGCACCTTCCTGTCCAGCAGGCTCTCGATGTCCCCTGCCACCTTCTCCACCAACTTCTGAGGCTCGTTCTCCTGTATCTCAAACAGATTCCGGTTGTCCTTGTAGATCTGGAAGGAAGCAGAAGCCAGGGGTCAGGCCAGGGTGGCTGCGGATTCCCACGCCACAGCCCCTGCGCTTTCTCTGTGTGCGGTGCAGCTCGGTCCTCACCCCTACCCCGCTCCTGGTTTCGGCCACTGAAAGCACGGAGGTCTGGGATCTGGGTTCCGTGCTCTCATGGACTTGGAGGAAGGGCATGGTCATGAGCTCCACAGCGCGTATCGGTTGTGGTTGGGAGGATGGGGTTGTCACTGCCTTCTCTAGGACTCAGGGCTCCTCCTCGAGGGGCCATAAGCAGCAACCCCCTGACTAGCTCACAGTGGCTGAGAGTAGCAGAGGGGAAGTGTGGGCCGAGTACGCGGCAGAGTGTAGTGGGGAGATGGAGCCAGTAAGCACACAGCACGCACACACATCGACACAAAGATGGTCTCACACCCGCGTGTGTACACACACCTACATACCCACATGTGCATCACACGCGCACGTCACCCGTTCACATGGGCTCAGGCATCCGCATCCCTTTCTGCTGGCATTGCCCCAGGGCATTTGCAGAAACTGTAGCGGGAGCTCTGAGCACCCCCAGGGGCTCCTCTGCCATTCAGGGCACAGCATGTGAGAGCGGGGACCAGAAAAGAAAAGGCACGTGGGGGAGCGAATCTGCCCCTCCCTCCTCCTCGGGGGTGGGCCCGTGTGTACACGCATGTGGGGGTGTAAATCTGGTAGTCTGCATCTGTGTGTGTGTGCGCATGTGTGTTATGGCTCAACACACATCATCTGTGCACAGGCCTGTATGTTGGGGGCGGGGTGGGGTTAGGGACCCCTAGACAAAGCCTGGGGGCTTTTATGTGAGTTGTAGAAGCAGATTTCTGAGGGTGTCTTCATTCGTGGCTGGGGTCTTGGGGGCGCGCGTGTGTGTGTGCGTGTGTGTGTATGCATCGTATACCCTTGCATGGCTCTGAGCCTGACTGGGTCCATCCAGGTGACCCCAGAAGGTCCACGCCCCAAGCTGGATTCTCCACAAGGGGTCACAGGCCTGGCTGCCATGACCGAGTTCCTGCCACCAGCCTGTGCCATCAGGCAGTGCAGAAGCGGAGGGATGTGGGGAGACAGAGAGGAGGTGATGAGGAGATAAGGGAATGGGAGGGGCAGCTGATGAGAGACAGACAGGCGGGAGAGATAAGGTCGGTAGTGACAGGGAGACGTGGGGAGATAACGCCTCCACATCTGATGGGGGAGGAAGTGGGGGACCGGGGGCTTCCGGAGCCCCTGCCCACCCAGCCCCTGGCAGTCCAAGGGTTAAAGCACCACGCAAAGCCAGCTCCCCCATCTCTCCTCCCGCCCCAGCCCTCCCGGCTTCTCTTTTCTTTCTGTCCTTCTCTGAGAACAGAATAATTTGTGGTGAAGTTGCCGCTCCCCACAGAGTAGTGGCGATCAGCGGGCAGGCGGTACGGCCAGCGAGGGGCGGGGGCCCCCAGGAGGCGCCAGGCCACGCTGCTCCCGGGCCATGCCTCAGGACAGAGACCCCCAGATGGAGACAGAGGTCAAGGAGGGTTCAGAGCCTGGAGGGGGTCACTGGGAATTCAAGGAGCCTGGAGCCCAGTGCCCACGGTGGGGCGACCTGAGGCTCAGAAACAGAAGACATGCCAAGGACACGTGACTGTGAGTGGCAAAGCCAGATGCCCCACCCTCCTGCTCAGGTTTCGGGACATTAAAAACACACCCTCTCCTGACCTTGGACTGCGCCCCTGGGTGTGTGGTGCCCACAGTCTCAGCCAGACAGGCTGAGTGCATGAAGCCTTGGCCGAGCACGCCCCGGCCCACGTGTGCCAGCAGGGGGCGCAGCTGCCTGGCTTCTCAGGGCAGGGGATGGAGTCGCGGTACCTGCCGCCCCTGTCAAGGTCATTCCCAGGACGGTCCACGGCAGCAGCCGCCCCAGATCTGAGGCTGGACCATGTGGCCTGCTGACAACTCTCCTCAGAGAGCCCCGAAGTCCCTCCCCGCTGGGCCTAGGGTGGCCCTTGCAGCCTGGCATGGTGACTGGGCTAGGGATGGGGGTTGCCGAGAGAGGGAGTCTCCAGGTGGCAAGGTCACACGCCAGGGGTCTGACAGGTGGCACAAGGGCTTGGAAGCAGGGACACTGCTATGAGTCATCCCATCTCCGAACCGCTGCCTGATCTATTAAATGAGAGACTGGCGGTCCCCACGGGCCAGCCGAGGACAGCACGGAACCGACATCATTGCTGCTCCTGCAATGGTTTAGCACGGCCCGATTCTGCAGCAGTCATGGCCCGGTTCCTGCCTCCGCTCGCCCTGCTAGACTCCCACTCTTGGGATCCAAGGCCCTCGGTTTTCATTCCTGGGCAGCCAGCCTTGGTGTTCTGGGGTCTGCCAGCGATAGCCCCACCCCCCTCTCTGGGCAGTCCCTCCCTAGCCATCCTGTCTTTGTCTCCGGCACCTCAGCCTGGGCCCTGGAAGTGACAACAGGGGAGCCGAGACACAGGGACGCCACTGAGAGGGCACAGCCACAGCCAGCTCCCCAGGCAGCAGGCCTGTGTGCAGCGGACCCTCGGCAAATGCGTACGCCCAATTCCACGTTCAAGAACAGAGCTCTGGGGCCAGCTGGACCTAGGTCGGACTCCCACTTCTGCCTGCAGCTCTGCTACCCCTTGGAGCCTGGGGCTGCATCTGCCGGCTTTGTTCCTGTCCCACTTCTACCCAATGACCCCCCACGACACACTTCTGTTGACCCCTGGTGCCAGCACTCGAGGCCTCTGCAGCCCATCGACCTGGCATGTACCTTCAGGCCTCTGGGTCCCCAGCCCCTGCTGACTCCTACTGCCACCCCTTTACTCATACTGTCCCTGCACTGCCCCTCCCCCACCCCTTTCCCTGCCTATCTAAATATCCTCCCTGGACAGGGTGAGGAAATGGGCTAGAGAGTTTCTGGGGAGATGAAGGCAGAATTCTAGAACTATACGGGCTGGCCCAGCTACCAGCCAAGCCTGTCCCCCAGTCCCAAATGAGCCTCTGGAATGCAACAACCCTCGTTCCTTCTATCCCGGGTACTTTATATTTCCCTGGACCGGCTCCAGTTGCCTGTCTTCTGGGGTGGGCCCTGAGTTGAGCTCTATGTCCCAGGGAGATCCAAGTGACACAGCCCAGCATAGGGTCCCACTCTGAGAGATAGGTCATCTCTCCATTCGTGTGGTCTGGGAGGTGCTTTCCACCTGCAGGCCCAGCAGGAAGAAAGAGCCCAGGGCAGCTCCACAGCATGCCTGGGGTGAGCTCCCCTTGAGCCCCAGCCTCTAGCCCTGGTCCCTGGGGCCAGTTCCGAAGGAACAGACGGGCCCGGGCACGGCGGGCTCAGGGCCTCAACATCTGCAGCAGGATTGCGTGCCTGCCGGTGTCCTTGGCCTCACGAGCTAACTGGAAAAACCCAACAGCTCCCACAGCAGCCCAGCCTGCATGGCCCCCACCTCCGCACAGGCGGCGAGGCCCAGGAGAGGGACAGGCCACAGGTCTACAGCTTGTTGCAGCTCCGTGCCAGCTGTGATGGGGAGGACGAGGCAGGGGCTCCATCCCATGTAGGAGATGGGGAATGGAGGGGAAAGGACAGTAGACTCGAGGACAGGCTGGCTGGAGCCAGGTGGGCATGCGGGGAGGCGGGGCAAGAGACACAATGGCACAGGGGCTGAGGACGGGGAGAGCAGGGGTGGCTGAGGCCCCGAGGGACAACTCAGGAGGCAGTTTGTACACCCTTGTTCCCAAGAGTCCCTGCTCCCTCCATCCCACACGGCCACCAGTCACCTGGGCGTCCTCTTCCCCTCAAGGGCAGGTACCTCCTCGTCAGTTACTGAGACCTGTCCCTCCATGTCTCCCCTCATCTCCTCGCCCTGCCTCCGAATGCCGGCCGGACCCTCACCTCCTTCACCTCTAGTAACTGCGTTGTTAAATGCCCCTTCTGGTCAGCCTTCTGGCCTGGGGATTTCCGGGGCCTGTGGGGCCCAGGCCTCCTCAGGGGCCCCAGACCCTCTGGCCAGCTTCCTGCTTCCTGGGTTGGCTTCACACAAAGGGGAGGTGAGCCTGGAGGACACCTGGATGAATGGTGACCTCGAACAGGAAGCCTGGACACTCGCAGGGGCAGAAGGGGCCAGCTTGGTCGGCCTGGTCGCCACAGGCTTCAACAGTGCTGACTAGGAGACAGAGTGGAGCTGAGGTACCTGGAACACAGAGGTAGCCACCAAGGAGACAAAAGGCCCCAAGACTAGTGACCTGGGTGGGCCTCCGTCAGACTGAAGAGGCATTTTGCAAAGCCCCAGAAAGATAGCAGCGGGGGGCCTGGACCCCAATCAGCCCCCAACCTGCCCAGGCAGAGGAGGTGGGTGCAGGGAGGACAGGAGGGTGAGGAGGGTGGGGAGAGGAAGGGAGGGGGAAGGGAGACCGCGACAGCCACGGGAACAGCTGAGTGCTGGCTCTGGCCACCCTGAGGCAGGTGGCCCTGAGGACGGACCCTTCTGATCATGCCCATTTGGCCGACAGGACAATGAGGGCCCGAGAGGTTAAGTCCCACAGCAGAGCTCAGAACTGAAGCGGTCTGTCTGATCCACAGGCCTGGCTTTAGGTCACACTCTGTACAGTTCTCTTCTTAGGACTTAACCCCAAACGTGAAGGTGAAGCCTCTGGCAAAGAGGGCATGTGGGATAAGCTGGGGGTCTGTGGGCCTGGGGAGGACTTGGGGTGATGCCAAAGGCCTAAGTAAGGCCCGTGGAAGGCAGAAGGGCCACTCTCGGGGTGGGGAGGAGCAGGGAGAGGACTGGCAGAAGCGGCCTGATCCACTAATCAACCACTCGATCCTGCGAGTAAAAACAGGCATGCACGCGAGGCTCCTCTCTGCAGCGAAGGTGAACAGGCCCTAATCTCTGGAAAATTAAATCAGAAAGAAAATAGAACGAGAAAGGTTTGATGCAGGCTGGGCCCTGCTGCTGGCTGTCTCCTCAAAGGCCCAGACTCG